TCCAACGTCAATGCGTCCGTTTCGTCCGCTTCATGGAGGAATTCGATCAGGTTGATTGGTGAATTTGGCCGTAAGGATTCCACCGCCCAGTGTTCCAGCAGACGCTCTACCAAATCCCTCCCGGCCGCTGCCCCTCTTCTTTAGTGGCCTTATCTATCATTTAAAGGCTGGTGAGGTCGATCAACACTTCGCGCGCCGAATCCTGTCGGATATTCTCGGCGCCTAACTCCAGCACTTTCTGGGCCGTCATCCTGGTTGGTCGGCCGTTTGCATCGTGGCCGGTGAGGACAACCCATCCAACATCGTCGTCGTAAATCCGAGCTTGCACGGCGTTGGCCTCGAATGGTTTTTTGTCGGCCGGGTGTATGGACACCTTTTGGCCGTCCCAGAAAAATAACAATTGGAAAAGGGAAGACGGTATACACCCGGATTGATGGATCCAATCACGGCCGAGTAATACGTTGTAGTCGACGCTTGATTCGACCACGTAGAAGGCCGCGACCCTCGTCTGATCGGCCACGGTAATCTTCAGGGGCAATACGCCAATGGTTTTTGACTTATCGCCGACAAAACTACTCATGACCACGTCGCTGGGGATGAGGTCCTCCTTCGACTTGTCCAGCTTTCTCATTAAGGAAAAGGGAAGGATGTTGACCGTCGCCCCACAGTCAACGAAGACCTTGGATATGGGCACGCCCTCTATGTGAGCCGAGATATACAACGGCTTCAAGTGCCGGTATTTGTTCGGCTCGTCTCTTGGTATTACCTCGTTAAATGCCACGGCCAGCAATTCCTCCTTAGTTTTTGGCCTCTGATCAAATTGCTCCTCGGGCACGTCATCCTCCAAACCGCTGGTCTGTCCTCCCGGGGCTGAAAACTCGAATGGCAGCACCAGGACCATGTTGATGCCGACTTCCTCCGGCTCCTGCGGGTTTCCCCTACCGGCTTCCTCTTCGGTCTTAGAGCCGTCTTTGGTGAGAGCCGTTTCCTCGACCATCCCGAGGATTCCTTCATATTCTTCATCGGAGATTCCTATTGTGGGGTCGTCCTCGGCCTCGTGTCCAAAGAAAGGATCTCCGAAACCCTCGTTCATCGGAGACTCCCTGTTTGCCTGGTATACGGCCTTAATGGCCGAGTCAGAACCGCTGGTGATGAGGAGCGCTTCTGCCTTTGTGTTCTTGAGAGCCAACTCCACGATTTCTCGGCTCTCAGGGGTCATACTGTACAGATCCACGGCCGAATGGTCTTTATGGAATTCTTTGAGGAAGGATAGACCGTTGGCCGAAAAAGGGGGATCCCTCCCGTGGTAGATGTCGACGACACCCTCGTCCATTCCTTCCGTGATCGCGGCCTTTGGCTGGGCTGAATTGGTCGACGAACCACGGGGACTTCCGTCTTGCCTAGGGCGCCATGCCCTCAAAGGCCTGGTGCTGGCTGCTCTTACGGCTGGGGAGACAACCGGTTCGGATGACAACCCGTCAACAGTTGCTACTTTCTTTTGGCGTTTGAAGCCCTCGACCTCGTTTGTCTGC